CCTCTCTTGCTGCTGCATTGACCTGGCTGCAGCAGCAGCTGCATAGAGAAGGAGCGGTGCTGCCTGCTGCAGCTGGCTGTCTGTGCAGCAGCTATAAGAGTGTCTTTGAGTCCGCGCAGCAAGCTGCAGCAGCAGCAGCAGCAGCAGCAGCCACAACAACAGCAACGGAAACAGCGCCAGCAGCAGCAGCAGCAACAACAACAATAGAAACATCAGCAGCAGCAGCAGCAGCAACAACGCATGCACCATGCATCTCTCATGCTATCCTAGAAGCAACGACACAGGAAGCGCAAGAAGCGGTGCAGCTGCTGTCTGTCTTCAAAAGCCTAAAAGCAGCAGCAGAAGCCGAAGCAGCAGCAGCAACAGCAGCAGAAGCAGCAGCAGGGAAAGGAGCTTGCCTGCAGAGACGCGAAGCCCCATCATCATCTTCAGCAGCAGCTGCAGCAGCAGCAGCATGGGCAGCACAAGCATCTGATCCTCCTCGACTGCGCGGGTGCAACCACAGCAGAAACAGCAGCAGCAGCAGCAGCAGCAGCAGCAGGAGGGGCTGCAGCTGTGAAGAGGTGCTGCGTGTTGCTGCTGTTGGCAGCTGCTGCTGCTGCAGCGTGAGCTNTGAGCTCGCCGTGGGTGTCTTTGTCTGCCTGGCGTTGCTTTCGTGTTGCTGCTTATCCTTTTCTTCGTCTTTATGATTTGCTGCTGCTTGCTGCAGCACAGCGACGGCTTTTTGCTGCTACTGACTCCTCACCTGAACAGCTGCAGCAGCTAATGGAGGCTTCTGCTCTTGTTGCATGCATGGAGCAGCAGCAGCAAGATCCTTCTTTAGAGGCGGATGTTGCTGCTGCTGCTGCTGCAGACACAGCAATGCAGTGTGCTGCTGCTGCAGTACGCGAACTCATCGGCACAGGGGGGGGACACAACAGCAACAGCAGCAGCAACAGCAGCAGCAGCAGCAGCAGCAGCAACAGCAGCAGCAGCAGCAGCAAAAGGAGAGTTGCCACGTGGCTTGCTGCACCCAACCCATTCATAGCAGCAACGAAAACCGCTTGTCACGGCAGCAGCAACAGCTGCAGCAGGCTGCCGCTGCTGCAGCTGCA